CCAGATTCTGCCGAAACGTTGCTACAACTTTAAAAGCACAACTACAATGACGTGGGAAAATACCTGAACAAAGCTTAATACCATACATGTAAGTACCCACGAAAACTTTATATATAGATATAGATATAGATATAGATATAGATATAGATATAGATATAGATATATATAAATAATACAAAATAGATGCTAAAACAAACAAACAAATCAGAATTTACCAAAAGATAGGCAAACTGTGAACTGAATGCTATCCCCAACGTTCTGTTTTGTGGCTTTCTAGAGTCATACTATCAAACTTTAGAAGCAAACTATCAAGATATATAATTTGTTTTTTTCTGCCAAAAACATTTTTTTTAAAAAAGGAACTGTATGTCTTCCTTTAGATTTAATACCATTCAGCATCTACCTGCCTGGTGGCGTTACTCCCTTAGCTGCCTTAAAAAATAAAGAAAATTATGGTCTCTAGCAGCTAAGATACCCTGCCATTAACCAGAAAGAACTTTGTATTCTGTATATATTACTGTATGTATTAACTGCATTTCATTTCTTAATAGATAGTAGCAATGTTTTACCATATCTTGTAAGACACCCAAAGCTGTAAAGATAATAGGCAGCATATAATTTTCTAATAAAGGAGCTACATGTTAATTATGAATAAGCAATAGGCAGCACTTAGGCAGCACTTTAGATGGTGATATAAACTATAAGACAAATCAATGGAGAAAAAGGCTAAACTTTAAAATGCCCTTTCTCCAGCATCAGACAACATATGCCTCTTAATATGATAAATTGCAGCTATGTATTGAGGACCACAGACAAGCTGTCATTCGTATCCTGGTGAGAACTTTTTGACTGGCACTAGAACAGTTATAGGGGAAAGAAACTGTGTGTCTTAGTTGCCTTCAAAAAAATCAGAGTAAGGCAAAGCAAAAGGCTGAGTCATACTGAGAAGTTCTGAAATTTTTATCTGTGGATTTTGTTCTACTCATAATTTGCCTTTGTGTGTATCCCCAGCCTAAGAAAATCCCACTTCACCAAACTTTAAAAGAGGGGGGAAAGGATTGGATTTGCATTTTAGCTATAGGAGCCTCAGGAGAAAGAAGTGCTGGAAATAGATAGGCCTGGCTTGAGATGAGACTGTGAGCAAAAACTTCATTTCTGCTTGCAGTCAGAGGCATCACACATAAAAAATGATGCTCACAAACGGAAAGTCATCAGGCAAAACACGAGGGTAGGAGGAGGCGCCTAGGATAACTTGCCACAATCAACTCGCCATGGCTAAGCCGCCTCAGGACAATTCAACACTGTATCAGTTGTTTCATTCAGTTACTTTTATTATTAGTGACCATGTTTTCATTGAAATTATTGTAACTTGTGTTTCTGGATTGACTTTAATATTATTGAACATGGTTCTATTGAAATTAATTTATCTTTTGTATTTGTTGAATTGTCCCATGGCGAGTTGGCTGGGATGAATTGGGCCATGGTGAGCTAGCAGCAAGTTGACCCATTCCAAAGAAGAGAACCTAAGTAACTGAGATTACAAGAGGTATGTCAGGGAAAATCCACAGGGTATATTATCTTCATCTAAAATGTTCGTCTGTTTTACCATTTCAGGACCTCTTCACCCTCTATCACATATAACACAGATGGGACACCCTGAAGGAAAAAGATGGAGTGGGGGTGATTTTTATTGCAAGCCACACCTGGACTTCATCATGAGGGTGATTGACAATCAGTGCATAAGCCAGTGCTTCTTCTGACAACTTGTTGAAGTTGGCCTGATCCAACAGTGGTTCCATCATGGCCAAAACTTTCTGTTCTTTCATTAACCGTTCAGCATCTGTCAAACAGAACTCCTGCAGTGTGTCCCGGTCAGGATCAATAGGTGTATAGTGTTTCTAGAAGGGGAAGGCATAAGTGGGAGGATTAATGCAATTAATACAGCATATTTGTTCTATCTCTGGTCACTATGAGCAATTTATGACTGAATTCATCATCACAACAACAATGGGAGAACAAGCAGAAGGAATGAGTTACAAGTAGTCCTCGACTTACAACAGTTCATTTAGTGACAGTTCAAAGTTACAATGGCATTGACAAAGAATCTTATGACCATTTTTCATACTCGCATCCCCATGGTCATGTGATCAAAATTCAGGTGCTGGGCAACTGATTCCTATTTATGACGGTTGCAGTGTCCTGGGGTGATGTGATCACTTTTTGTGACCTTCTAACAAGCAAAGTCAATGGGGAAGCCAGATTCACTTAACAACCAGGTTACTAACTTTAACAACTGCAGTGATTCATTTAACTGTGACAAGAAAGATTGTAAAATGGGGGAAAATTCACTTAATAAACGTTTCATTAAACAACAGGGATTTTAGGCTCAATTGTGGTCATAAGTCAGGACAATCTATATTCCATCTTTGCTCTACCAGTTATTTAGTTTCCAATGCTGAACAGGCAGAGAATGCAGATCACCCACCAAGGGTAGGAATGTAACATTTCACTGACACGCATCCAGAAAATATTGTAGGAAGGGAGTCATTTAAGTCATTTAATGATAAATATCAGGAGTTTGGTAACATCTTCTCTGACTACAATAACACACTTTATTAAAGGGCATAAAATTTAATGTGTAGTCAGGAAAGATGCTACCACTCTCCTTCCTATTTCTCGTGCAATAAAAGTATACTAGAGCAGCGGTCTCTGACTTTGGCAATTTTACAACTTGTGGTCTTCAATTTCCAGAATTCCTCAGCCGGCATAGTCTACAGTGCAAAGTCCACAAATCATAAAGTTGCCAAGGCTGGGGAGACCACCATACTAGAGAACAGAAAACAATGCTGGTTACTGCTTAACATTTCATTTGCTTTGGGATCAGTATTTTAGCAACTTTTGCTCAGGCAAGCAAGCAAATAAATGTCAATCTTGATTCCTGCTCAAGATTGGAAATGTAACATGCAGGATGTAGCTAATTCTCCCCAGCTTTTTTTATTTTCAAAACGAAATCCCCACAGAAGGTGAAAGCTGGTGGGAGATGTTGCTATCGGAGCAGCTGCAGACATTCCTGAACTCTATACCATTTTAGGGATGAGTAATAGTCTCCTAACGCATCCAGTAGTTATTGGTTTTGGTTCAGAAAACTTGCTGGATCAATTTTAAAATATACTAACTTACTGCAAATCACAGTTCAGTTTGTGATTGAGAAATGGCTTTACTGGAAGTCTTGGACTTATGACCACAAATGGGATTCCATTGCTAAGTAAGGCAATTAAATTACATTGCTAAGCCAGGCCTTTAATGTTGTTCTGAATGTTATGCCCTTTTTCACCATGGTGAAATGAATCACTGCAGTCATTAAGTGAATCACTGCAGTTGTAAGTGAATCCAGCTTCTCCCACTGACTTTGGTCATGGGAATCTGGCTGGGAAGGTCACAAATGATGATCACATGACAATGGGACAGTGCAAGCATCTTAAATATGTTGGTTGACAAGCACCCAATTTGATCACTGAGATGCTGCAATGACCGTAAGTGATAGGGCTGGTCATAAGTCAATTTTTTCATCGCCATTGTAACTTCGTAGGGTCACCAAAAATGGTTGTAAACCGAAGACTACCTAGATTACAATCTGACCCATGCTTGAGATTGAGACAATTTGCCATGACCACATATTCATAATGGAAGGATAGAGAGTGATAGCTCCATCCTTTCGATTTCCGTATTAATTACAGTGGTACCTTGGTACTCATCTGCTTTGAAACTCATCAAATTTGATATTCAACGCATTTTGATACAAAAAAATGTTGTCCCAGTATTTATCATTTATTGGGTACTCAATGTAAAAGCCAGAACTTGTCGCTGGTGGCTGCTTTGTGACTCACTACATTATTCCTTATAGGAAAAATTTGTTTGGTACTTGTTCTTGGTGCTCACTGTACCACCAGGAACCAATTAATGATGCGTACTGAGGTAACACTATATAAGGAAATGAAGGTGCTACCTGTTATTAGCAAAGAAAGTCAAGCAACCTAACCAAAGAGGCACACAGTGACCCGCATTTCTCTGCTATCCCACTTGGTAAGGAGCTATTTTTATTTAGAAACATGACAAAATATGTTTTGTTTTTTTAAAAAAAGAATACAGGTAAATATTTGGGTGGGTGAAGGAATGCTCAGTAATACAAACAATTGTTATAACGATCACCTCCCTCGCTATCATCTACATAAGACTGGAACAATTTTTATAAATTGCCTGCAAAAAGTACATTTGCAACTACCTGTAGCTGCTCCAAAACAGAATAGTAATGATGTACAAGGGATGAGTCCACCTGAGACACAAACTGCAAGAATGAGATGCGTTCTTTATGATTAGAAGAGTGAAACTCCTGAGAAAGGAAAAAAGGGACCCGATTAAAGCTCTAAACGGCCATAAGCAGCAGTCCTTTTATTGAGACGTTCCTTGGGTAGTACCAAAATAAATACAACTGTTTACTCAGTTCTGCTGCATTGTCATCTCTCTAGCAGTCAGTTAGTGGCCTATCTATCCTCTTGCTGCAGCACTATGATCCTTACAGTTTTCCATTTATTTCAAGCAACTTCTCTTTCATTTAGCTTAAAATTGGTTTGATATAAATGTTTTTGAATATAATCTGCAATAATACTCAGAGTAGGAATTTTGCAGTCATAGCTACTGGGAAATTCCTCTTTTCCTAATTCAAAACAAGTCTATAACAGTAAGCAGCCTAAATTCTTCAATAGGTAGGCCTGAATCTTCACTGAGATATGGGCATCTTCTTAGAATTCAGCCTCCATAGATCAATTTTTGGATAACAGGTCTGCTAACGAACATTTTTAGTAATCAATGTAACTTGGAATATTTGTGTACAATGCCAGATTGTGAATTTCTATCTATTAGAGAAGGAACCGCTGTTCAATAACAGAATGCATGCTTTGCATGTAGAAAGTCCCATTTTAAAAATCCAATTAAAAGGGATACAAAGTAGTAAATATTTTGATATTCTTGAAATTATAACAATTTAGGATAGATATATAATCAGACTTGACATAAAATATATGGCTTTAGAAAGTTGTCTTAACAGACAATAGCAACATGCATCTCAAACATCTTTATAACAATACAGTCACTGACTTACAACAATTCATTTAGTGACTGTCTGAACTTACAATGGCACTGAAAAAAAGATTTTCACACTTACAACCATTGCAGCATCCCCATGGTCATATAATCAAGATTCAGATGTTTGGCAACTGACTAATATTTATGATGATTGCAGAATCCCCAGGTCATGTGATCGCAACCTTCTGACAAGCAAAGTCAGTGAGGAAGTCACATTCACTTAACAACCATGTTACTAACCTAACAAGTAATAGGGTAAGTGCAGTAATTCACTTAACAAGTGTTGTAAAATGGGGCAAAATTCACTTAACAAATATCTCACATAAATTTTGGGCTCAATTGTGGTTTTAAGTCGAAGACTACCTGTAATAAAATTTATATTTTCAGATTTCCAATCCATACTTTTTATGTTTCTTCACTTTTTTATCCATGACTATAGTAGTAGAAGCGGCCACTTTGGCAGTAAAGAACTCCTGGACAAGAAAAAAATGTCCTGATTTCATACATCATTACTAAGGTGGGTAAATTTATATGGCTGGATCATTATCCTTAATTTGTCCTTATGGGAACATAAGAATTATAATTTAGCACTAATTCAGGTCTACAGTGCAAAGGGCTTATACATTGTGTAACCTCTATCTGCCTAGTAGTAAAGTTCAAAAGAATTCACTTCATATTCTCCAGATCACTGTTGTCCAAACTACTCCAGATCTTAGAGATCAACTTTTTATAATCTGTGCTCAGTATCTGGACTGCTTCTGTCTGGTAAAGGCCATTCTACCTTTCTAGAGTGAGTCTCTTTAATAAGAGCCTTCCAATTTAAATGAGAATGGTGTATTTTCAGTTTTAATCACAAAAGATCCTATTTATCAAATGATCAAAGCAAACATTGGCTTCCAGGATAACATTATGGTGTTGTCCTTCCTCAACCATTAAGGAATTTAGATAGCTACCAATTGTAACTAGAATTCCTCTTTCATTCCCTTTTATATCCTTTTCTCCTTCCTACAAAAGCTTATAATTTGTCACCCTTTCATTTTTTTTATGCCATGCCACTCAGCATGTATAGGATAACTGCCTTCTCCTCCTCTCCACATGCTATGTTTTCCCCTTATTTCTTTACTTTTGTTTAGCAAAATGTAAACCACTGTTTCCTTTCCTCTACTCTTCAATTTCTACAAGAACAGCAATTTATTTCAAGAAGTGTTTTCATCTCTTCAGAGTGTTCTCTTCCGAAGGTTCATCCCATTTGACCCATTTCATCACCATCAGGACAAGTTTTTAAAGATTGGCTTAATTCATATTCCACATTTTCATGAGGCAGACCTTACTTAACAGGCAAAGGGATCTAGATGCCTTCAGAACTCTGGGATGAAGGAAAATTAGGTTCTGAAATCAAGATTGCAGAAAATTTGCTAAAAGAAAACATCTGGTATACTAAAGCAAGCATTGACTGGACCAAGAGAAACTATATTTTGCAATCCGAATGCATCATGCACATCAAGTAAACCAGTATAAACATATTACTGTATAACGCTTTACACTATTACTGTTTGAGTTGTCTACGAGAAGGGGTGACACATTTTGCTTGCTTCTATATTTCACCAAGCACTATCCTCATGTTCTAAAAATTGTTTATGCTGTTTTGAAGCACTGAAACATTGTGAAAGCCGAGAGGGATGATTGTGAATTTGGTGCAATGCATTTAAGGGATGTCATAATTGACACAGAAGCCTATTTTTACCTTTACCAGGGCTTCAACCAGTTGGCTCTTGGAAAACGGGATGTATTTCTCCTGATAATCCACTGCCCAGTTCTGTGGTTCTGTTGGCTTCCGCATCCTCCGATATTTCACCATCGTGGCAGCAAGGGAGGCCTTACCACGCAAAGACAACCCTATAATCTTGTTCCCCAGGGCTAACCGGGTTATGCTCAGCATTCTGGGAGAGTCCAAAGCTTAACAGTTAAAAAATGGCAGCAAAGGTATATCCATGTTCCTTGGCTAAGTTTCCTCACACTGACATTATTTTGCAACCACACTGCTTGAAAAGCTGTAGCAGGCACCTTTTTGAAGCAGCCAATGTAAGAAAGCTTTGAGAAATCAAGTAGAGCAAATCTATCTTTTTGATAAGCTGCAGGCAAAGAAGACTCAGTTAACATAGAGGTACCGTGCACAAATGAGAAGGTACTTTCCCCGCTACCTCCACCCACAATTGCATGTGGAAGCAAGCTCACAACCAGGACAGAACCACAGGGGTTAAAAGTCACTGATCAAAATCATCAGGCTATCCAAACTGTTGAAATTAAAACCCGCTCACTCACCCCAATTTACAAACCAATGAGGTTATTTTTTTCTCCCTCTTCTCACACACACACACCCCTCAAACCCTTTTAACTACAAGATCCAATTCGGACCAAAAAAAAGTCCACTATTCGAGCAGCGAGCTCTGACCTTTAAAAAGAAGCCTGACATTGAATTTGGCGGCACATGCGCACAATGTTTCTTTCTCTCTTCCGCCCGCAATTCTAATCTTTAAGCTATTCCCGGAGAACCTCACATTGCGTCGTGCGCTTGCGCAATGGCTTTTGTCGATTGTTGCGAATTAAGTTGGGCCCATAAAGTAGAGATAGAAAATTTAAAACAGCTACCCTCAATCGTAAAGCTTATTTGCCCATCATCTCTGTTCTGATTCAGTCTCTGCAAAATACCGCCAAGGCTCACTATGGAGCCATTCTGTATCATTTGTCTTTTACTCAATGAGAACTACTGAACACGTTTCGAGTTAAGAGAAGTTGAATTTGTTGCTCTGTACGATTTTCCTTTCCTGTCTCTATGGCCAAACCACGGGGCGCTTGCAACAATCAAAAGAATTCCACAGTATCGGAAAATTCCAATCTGTTCGGTTTTAGCATGATGCGCATGCGCTCAGCACATTATTCGCACCGGCGAAATAAGACTGCAGTTCCTCCTCAGCCCACGCGGGGTTCTTTAGAATCCTCTCAGGCGTCTTTCTAACTCCCACCCCCAACAGTCATTTCCAACTGCCCTGTTGAACGCTCCAGCGTTCGTAAAGAGATACTGGCAGCTCTCCCGACCATTCAGGCTTCGAGTTCTCTCAAGCGGTTTCCCCCTCCCTTCCATGGGCACGTGATGAGATCGAAAAGGCGGGAAAAACTTCATTTCCTTCACTTTCCCCAAGGGGTAAGTGAGGAGAGAGGATGTTTCCGAAATGTTCCTGGATGATCAGGAAAATGTAAAGCGCTGAGTCCTTAATTTCTGAGTCGGCTTTAACGTGCAGTCCCTTACAATGTTTCATTTGAGCTTCTTAGCTTTCTCCCATCTGCCATTTTCAGGATGTATTGGACGTCCATATTCATATGTAGATACGGTAGTAAAGTAGGGATTGAAGCCAACTTCTGGCTGAGGAAAGGAGACTAAGTTAAAAATAAGGGACACAGATTGGGTTCTTTGTTACAATATTTTCTCCAAGACAGAATATATATAGCCGTAGTTAAATATTGAGGAACACAAAACAATGTAATCACGGACCAACTTATTTTAATATATTTAATTGCATTTTAAATGGATCTTTCTCAAGAAACCAGAGGCTATACGCCTTTCCTTTTCCCTCATTTTATTCTAACAGCAAGAAACTGCCTAGTTTAAAATTACCCAGTAAGTGGCTGAGCAGAGGTTTCAGTACAGATGCTCTGTGCTAACACTAGCCATTATTTTTCAATAGTTCTCAAGTAGGAAAAGAAATCAAAGAAATGTGTTTAGAGCTGCAATTACACATGAAATTTAATAGATCAATTTCTTATTTGCTATAGAGAAATAAATCTGTACAACAACCAAATAGGGAAGTTTATTCTTTTGAAGGGAATAATTCAACAAATTTGAATAGTAAAACTTTTTTGCATATTTTTTTTCAGATAAAACTAATCAGATTTGCAATATTTACCATGAAATTAGATTCTGAGAACAAAATGAAAAGGCATACTGAGTAGTTTTTGTGCTCCATCATGGGTGCTAACTGATGCTAGTCCTCATTTTTACTAAAATTTAAATATGAACTGGAAAATGATATTTAACTATACACTAAAATAATGCATGAATTCATCATAATTGAGGCTCTAGAGCATATCTTGGAGTGATGGTAACAAGTATGTTACTGCCTAAATAGAATTATATTGTTAAACTCAAATATTAGAAGTATGGCTATTACTCATTAAAAGCTGCTAGTTCAGTTTTGTGCAACTAGATGAATATTTCTTGAATAAAACTCATCTTAAAAGATAATGGAAAATTCTATACATTGCTTCTAAATATTTCATAATCACAGTTTTGAACTTTCATATGCCTGGAAGATAGATTAGACTTTTTGAGCTGTGCTAAGGCAAGAAGAGAACTCTGAAAAAACAATATATTCTTTTTTTAAAAACTTTCAGTGTTGGTAGATAGAATCTTAGCAATATTTGTATTATATTCTTAAAATCCAGATAATGTTTCTCAGCTTCAATTTACAGCAACCTTCCAGATTCAGTTTTGTTCTAATGACAAAAAGACAACTACAGGATGAGAAAAATGACTTCAATCTTGCGGGACCTTTCAGACCATGACATGGTGCACTTCTTCATACAACCTCAGATTGTTGCTAGAACACTAGCAGGGGTGAGAAAATAACAGTACTAACTAAATGGTGGCTTCTGCTATATTTGGGGTCACATATAGTCTCTGGTGCAGTTTTAACTTCAGAATAGTGTTCTAACATAATTGGGAATTAAAAAGAGGCTATGACAACACATATTATTAGGATAGGTTGTATTATATCAGCAATAGCCATAATATTTTTATTTTCAAATATAATCAGTCCTTTGCTTTATAAAAAAGTAGATAACCTGTGACCCATTGGGTCATTACAGAGCTATTTCCTGACTAAAACAAGAAACAGAATGGCCATGGGTGGGCAAAAAAGCAGTGAGAGTGAGAGAAATTTCTGACTTCCTGCCAACTTTTTCATTGACTTCCCTTGTTGGAAGCTGACCTGCCTGCCTTCTAGTTTGGGTCCTCATTTCCTCATAGACCAAATTCTATCTGAATAATAATCCCATATGTCTAACTATACTATTTTCACTTAGTGTAATCATTTTATATACAAATGTGACTACCTCACCTCACCCAGTACTTGTAAAAAGGTTTGTTATTTGGGTTTTTAACTAAGATCCAACTATTATGTTCAAAGCCACAAATAATTTGAATAAGATTAATGTCTGACGAAATCTCTTATAGGGAATTTTTAAAGTGCAAAATGCCAACAAAATTCATATCAAATCTATGGAGATCTTCAAGACTTGGCCTTGGCATATATGCCAAAGGCATGTAAGGTGCATGCAGTCAGTCTATTCTGTGACATGAGTATGATTCAGCACTGGCTCAAGTCTCCAAATTTCCTGAGTTATCCACACAGCTTTTTCTTGAGCTGCTTGTCCTGATGAGATAATCATGTGCCCCCCTTTCCATACAAAATTCAGGTGAATAGCATCTTGGTGGACTACTTGGAAAATTATTTTCCACCATTGTTTTTCTTCCTTGTTTCAGCTGTGCTATAGACAGTATATATGGGCAGAGGTAAAACTCTAACCCTCATTTATGTTGGTTGTAGAAGAGGTGAATGATCAGGTTGATTTTTCTCTTTGCCTCAATGCAGATTCAAAAGAATGATACTTGGATCAGTTAGAAGTGTTGATTGCAAAATTGTATTTTATGGAACACACATAGTATTCAAACATTTGTATTTAACATTTCCATTTCTTTCTCTTGCTCAGGTGTTCTCTCTGGTCATATTTGCCTCCTTGGTGACTGAAGGATATCAAAACTTGACAACCTCTTCTCAGCTACATTGTATTTTTAATGATAATGGGGCAGCCTGCTGCTATGGCATCACAGTCGGCGTACTTTCTTTTCTCCAGTGTTTCCTCTTTTTGGGCTGTGATGTCTATGATACTTGCATTACTAATCACAAGTTCAAGTATGCTATTCTTATATTGGATGTTACTTTCTCTAGTAAGTAATTTTTTGTTATTTGAAAATAATCATAGAGTTAAATTTCAATATTTAACAATAATTAGGAGATAGCTGATGCCCGAGAACCCCAATATTCTAAATATTTTACTTTATAATATATCAAAATTGTCCTCATATTTTCTCATTCCTATATCGTCCCCGCAGATAGCAAGACATTATAATCATGGTGTCTCCCAACCACCTCTCCCCATTGAAATCACAAGTTCTATCAAAATGAAAATGTCAGCCTTATATTTTACATTCCAATTGCTGTTAGATTTGATCTACATTTGATTACACTGTTGCTGATCTTCCAAATGAATCTATCCAGTTAAAATTGTTTCAGAGGATCTTCTTTGGGTTCCTTTATTATTTGTATTGACAAAGAAAATGGGCACATTTCTAGGCTTTATACCTTTGTACCTTGTTTCCAGGGAAGACAAGTTCTCTTCCATGGAGATCTTCTATTAAAATTTTTACTTCAGATCATCTGAGGCCCTCTTTAGTTATTTTATTGCTCTTTGTTGACTTTATTGTTTTTAATATGTCTGATAATTTGCTGTAAGTTTCTTTGAGAAACTGAAGGCAAGATTCTGTTTTCTTAATGAGGAAACAATACAAATTCAACAATTGTGGATGGAAGAGATAGAAACTTTCTGTTCTATTCTGCCGGCTTTGCAGTTTTAGGTCACTTTATTTTTTTTATCTTGTTTTTTGGTCTTTTAGCTATTTCAAACTTTTTTCCTCCAAAAATGTATGACCTTAAGATACTTTATGTTTTGATCTGACTAATGGTGTACACTTATTAATATTTACAAAGGATTAACTACATTATTTAGCTAATAAGACCTAGCTCTCTACAGAAGGCTCTAATGATGGGAAAGGTGGAAGGAAAGAGAAGAGGATGACCAGCAGCAAGCTACTTGGACTCAATCATTAGTGGGTGCACTGATAAAAGACTTGAAAGACCATGTACGGACTGATCACTATGGATAATTTTTTTAATTTGCTAAGAGTCAACAACAACTTGATCACTATACAGTTACTCATTGCTAAATGAATAGTTACTTAACACTTGAAGTTATGAAGGACTCAGAACTACTTTTGATTCATCCTTGATTGCCAAACCCCCTCCTTGTGTCACACAATTACATTTCAAGCACTGGGCAACCAGCTCAGATTTATGACTAGTTACAGCATTCCATAGTTACATTAGTGTAATTTGCAATATTTTTGCAGTTTTCTAGCAGATATTAGATACGCTTGATTCACTTGATTGTGGGTTTTTTTTTAAGCCACCACTTGATTTGCTTAATAGCCATAGTGACTCGCTTAACAACCATCATAAAACCAGTTGTAAAATTGAGTCAGATCCCATGGTA